CCTAAACCCTAAATCCTTGGACCCTTCAAAAAGGCTGGCTCGATGGGCCTCCTGTCCGCCATGGGTACCTTAGCTGCGCCTTTGTGCTTCTTGGGGGGCGAGGGTGGGCGTAGGGTTTAGGGTTTAGGNNTTAGGGTTTGGGGATTTAGGAGTTAGGGCGGAGGGTTTTTAGGATTTAGGGCTCAATGTTTTAGAGGTTTTGGGGTGCCCCAGACATCTGCATGAATCTGGAATCTTCTTCAGATCTTCTATATGACATGTATATAGGCCTGGGGATTGATTATCAACAATCCAGCACCCTAGACCCTAAACACACACCCTAAACTCTAAACCTTAGATATTAGATTGGATGTTGTGGGTAGTTATGGGCATTCGTGGCGTTTGAGGGCAACTGCCCTTCGGGGTTGAAAACTTCAAGAGTTTGCAGCGTTTAGGGTTGGGGTTTAGGGTTTAGGTCTTGCATGGAGCATCTGGGTGCCAGTCGTGCCGGCCGAGACGCCGGGGGCATGCCCAGGTCTATGTTGGTTTGGCTATCAACCTGCCGTCGATAGGGTTTAGGGTTAAGGTTCTCAAAATTAGGGTCCATTTGGGTACCCCTAAATATGAGCTGCCGCTATATAATCCATGACCCAAAGGGCCCATGATGTTGAGCACAGCCCATACACGAGAATTTCCCCTGTTCCCTATATTGCCCCCAAATTACCCATAAATTACCCTATAGAACCCCTGTATAATCCCTATGCTACCCCCATGATTTTGAGAACAAACCCTGCGCTGATCCAGCCACCCATACCCATTGGCCGCGACCGGCTCGCTGGCCGCGTAGACGGCACATCAATGACACACAGGCTCGAGGCGACCGGAAATTGTTGCAACGTCCGCGTATTTCCGGCGCTGGAGCTGACTCCTTTATGGGAAGTTGAGGGTTTAGGGTTTAGGGATCCTAGGGATTCCAAGTATACGAATAGAATACTTGCATTGGGCCCGAAAGTGGGTAAAAATTGCCTACATTGAGCAACTTGGATCCAGGGTAAGGTTTCCATTGGCTGTTGGTCCCAGTCTCGGATGCACACCAACTGTGCCGGTACATGCAGGTTGGGCTCAATCGCACAAGCCCTAAGAATACTCGTGGTTTTAGAGCCCAAATATTATTGATATTGAAGTATTTGGGCCCTAAAACCCTTTTATTTGGGTCCTTGGACCCTTGGGGAAGCTTTTTGAGATTTAGGGTTTCGGGTTTGAGGTTTAGGGTTTATGGGGCGAGGGAAGCCTTTTGAATTTTGGCTTCTTCATGTTGGCAGGAATGGTTCAGGATCTACGCAGGAGCTCTATTTTTCCTGAACCCGGAGCCCGAAGCTTCCTCCGGCCTGGAGCCTAAGCTCCCCTCTTCAAACCCTAGGGTTATATATGGATAATGGAATAGAACATGGAAACTACTATGTTATATAGGGTTATATAGGGGTAATGGAAAAGAAAATGGAAACTACCATATTATATCTAAACCCTGAACCCAAAAGCCTGAAACCCAAACCTTAAACCTTAAACCTTCATCCCAGGTTACCTGATACTGTAAACAATTAATCCCAGCCTGAACCTGAAACCCCAAACCCTGAAACTTAAATCTTATACCATACCTGGACCCCAAAAGTAGTAAAATGATAGCCACAACACTCAAATATAGCCCAAAAGGCAATTATTCTACATACTTGTGGGGTTCAGGTATAAGCTTATACCCTAAACCTTAGACTCTAAGAGCCCGCCCACTGGAGTGATTGGGACCATATAGGTGCTCGGGATCTACGCAGTTGGCGAATAGACCCCAAGGTTTCATATTGGCATCAGGAGTCAGGGCCTTTGGGCGCAGGGTTTAGGGTTCAGGGTTTAGGGTTTAGGGGTTAGGGCTTAGGATTTAGGGTTTGGGGTGCTAGGGATCTGGCAGTTTAGCGTTGCCAACGGGTGCAGAGTTTAGGGAGCACGATTTGCTCGGGAAGTCCCACCACATCCTAGACCCTCACAAGTCTGGCGCCTCAGGCTTTTGCGACCCGAAGCACCTGACAAGCCTTATGAATGACAAAGGGATTGCCCATCATGAACATATGTATGCAGGTTGAAGGTCGATTGTTGGTCAACTGTTGTAGGCCTTAAGATGCAGGATGTAGGGTGTAGGGGTTTAGAGTTTTGAAGATCTCAGCCTTTACGAACTGCAAGCTTTCGAACCATACCTAAACCTTACATCCTAAACCATGCATCCTAAACCCAAAACGCTAAACCCTAAACTCTCATGTAAGGTACGCAGCCCGCCTCCGCCGCAGACTTCTTCGGACTTCCGCACCATGGTTTAGGATTTGGGGTGAAGGGTTTGGGGTTTCGGGGTTGGGCTGTTGCCCTACTTGGAGGGTCAGGTGGACTTAGTAAGTAGGTTAATCCCCAGTGTAACACATATAGTAACCCCTGGCCCTCCAAGTACACAGTTTGTATGTATCTCAGTTTGAGGGTCCGGTGTTCAAGCTAGGTCTTAGGGTTGAGCATGCGAGTTCCTAAGTCTTCGTGACTTGGGATTGTATGAAACTGTTTACTTACGGTCGATGCTCTAAAGCCTGCACCATTTTATGATACTAAGAAGATCCCATGATGTCCACGCTTCAGGCTACTTGGGGTCATGCAGGCTTTTAATATCAAGATTCTGTTCCATGCGAACAGGGAATATGGGAATCTTTTCGGCTTTGGACCCTGTAGTCCGGCGTTGCGCTGCGAATGATTGCTCATGATATTTGTTCAGCCCCTATGCTGAAGTGGCAGGTTATCATTGAAATGTGTATCAAATCCGTTTTTGGCGACAGGCGATCCGAATGCAGATTGCAATTTGTCCATCACAGTTTGAGGGTTTCTGAGATAAGGAGGATAGGTTAGGATTCAGGTCTTTGACCTTCACATGAAGCCTTAAACCCCAGACCTTTGGCCAAAAACCTGAAGACCTAGACCCTAGCCCTAGACCTAAAAGCCTTAAGCTCGCTGACGAAATAGATCTTACCCCAAAAGCAGAACCCCTAAACAGGAGACACCCTAAACCCTGAACCTTCAACAACCGCCAAGGCATATGCCGGGCCCCTTCGAGATGGACCCAAAGGAGGCAGTCGTCATAGGCCAGGCGTCTCGGTTTGGGGTTTCAGGTACTTGTTCCCGAGGTCCAGGCGTTAGGATCGAGCGCTCAAACCAAGTAGGGTTCGTGATGTAGAAGTCTGGGTTAGAGGCTTTAGGGCTCAAGGCTACGGCGGTTTGAGGCTTCGAGCTCTGAATGTATATTTTAGGGTTAGGACTACCTTAGAACTTCCTTTACCTAGAGCTATTGGCAGTCTGAACCCTAAACCCTGACACCATGAACTACACGGTGTGAACCTCTGAGTTGTAGTTTGATAGGAATGACTACAGGTAAAGCCGTCCCTGTCACAGATCAGGAGTCCTTGAGCTGTTTTGGGTTTAGGGCTTTAGGGTTCAGGCTGTCTCGGTGAGGGGGCGCGCTGGTGCTGGCAGCACCCAGGCGCGCACCCTGACCTGCATGAGCCCACCCCCGCTGGCGCTCCACCCTTGCCTCAACCTTTACGGGTGTAAGGTTCTCTCGAACTCTGATCGCCCTCCTGTCTTCTTATTTGTTTTTTGCACATGTCTAGACCAGGCGGGTGCAAGATTTGGGCTGGGTCCGGCTGGGTCTGGCTCGAGGCTTCTTGTGTTTATTTTGAGCCTTGCCCGTTGGACCTGTCCAGATTAGACGGGTACAAGGTATCGCGCTCCCGTCTTCTTGTTTTTTCTTGCACCTGTCTAAACCAGGCGTGTGCAAGGCTTGGGCTGGGTCTGGCTCGAGGCTTGGTGGCTAGAGGTGAAAGTTTAAGAGCCCAAAGAGCCCACGGCTGCCTGTGGGACTGGGAGCTCCATCGCCAGCCGGAGAGATTTTGGACCCGGAGCTACCTCGCCTGTCGGCTCTGGTGCGTTCGTCCTGCTCAACGGGCTCACTCAGTTCAGGGGTAAACCATGAACCCTATTATGTTCACGGCTTCCCAAAACCCCCTAGCCTGCCCCTTCCGGTTCCACCTTAGTTTGCCTCAAGTGGTTGATTGATAGCATAGGGGAAAAGCCATAAATCCCCAATAAGTGATCTCGAAGTACGAATATAGAATTTGAATGCAAAAGAAAACTCCAAGTGTGGAAATACTGTTTCCAGTGCTAAAATCCTAAGCCCTATACCCTGAACAAGTCCCATGAACCTTTAGGGGGGATTCCGCACACTCAGTTTTGCAGGTGATGCTGGGGAGGCATCTGTCAAAGAAGCCCGAGCCAAGGCCAGGGTTTGCGTGGTTCAAAAATGGGTTTAGGGTTTAGGGTTTAGGGTTTAGGCTTAGAGTTTTGAGCTTCGGGCTCAGGATCTGGACTGCATGGACTCAGGTAAGGCCCGTTTGCATTGGCCTTTGTGGAGTTCCACGTTGGTAGACGTCAGGGCTCAGGATTCAGAGTTTGTAGGGCGAGGATGGAAAAGAAAGTGGAAACTACAATATTATGATGGGGTATATACTGGGGTTAGTAGAGTAAGGGACTCTTTGGTTTAGGGTTTTGAGCTTGCAGTGCATGGTGGGTTTAGGGTTTGTGACTGAGGCATCGCCATTTCGGGGGTTTACGGACAGAGCTCCGAGCTCTTTTGCTTGCGGGCGCGAGGACTCATACCGACATCAATCTATGGCAGTGCAAGTCCTAATTGGGTTAAGGGTTTAGGGTTAAGGGACCCCCAGATGGAACAGACCCTCTAAGGAAGCTTTAGGTTCCCCTCTACGCACGTTCGACGTGTCCTTCTAGGGGGTCTGTCCTATCTGAGGTCCTCTAGGAATGTACCCTATCTAAACTCAGATTCCCTCACCCCCAAGCCCGAATCCCTACAATCAAGGCCCTAAAGCAGTCACAGGTTGATCGTGGGGTCCTTCTGCTGTGGGCAGTTGAGGGTTTAGGTTTTAGGGTTCAGCAACCCCAAAACCTTAAATCCCTGTCTAGCCTTCTAAATCCCTGCTTGCCATTTCCTTTTCCATTGTCTTATTTGCAGTTGCGTGTGCCGCAATTCTTTATGAAGGTCCTTTCGCAGCGAATCCTGAACCCTTAACGTTGAACCTTAGAAGCCCCAAGTTAGGGTACCCATTTTCAACCCTAAGCTTACCGGCTGCTCATGGGAATGGAGGAATTGGATCCTTATTGGCATTCAATCCCCAATAGCAGACAGCTTACATTTCCATTCCTTCCTTCCCTACGAACCACCAGCAAGTAAACCAACAGGTCCTGCAAGGAGGGATGCTGTAGTCCCCGTATCAGTTTAGGGTTTAGGGTATTTTATCGTTTGGTTCAACCAGCAATCCAACAGGTCGTCGAGCTTCAAAACAAGGCAGAGAGCGCTTTGGAAAAGATCACGAACGACCCCCAGGCGCTCAGGGGTACCCGGATGAGAGGTTAAAATTCTGGCTCAGGGTGCGGGGTTCAGGATTTAGGGTGTAGGGCTCCAGGGAGTTCACGGCTCAAGCACACAAGAGGATGTTTTGGGGATCATCGGGATATAGCTAGAGTTGGTATGAGGGCTTTTCCGAATCCCTCTGAAGAGCTAAATACTGTCATCTAGGAGTTGTTTCGGGGAGCCCCATGTTTACTGCTGCGCCAGTCCCGCAGTCCTTCTGCACAGTCCTATCTGCTGAGTAAAGCCCTAAACTCTAAACATCCATGGAGCCTCCGAACACCAGGTTTGCTGCAGGTGTAACATCAAACCCTAAACCCTGAACCCACACCAGAGCATTCAGTATTCCTGGTAGTAGCTCAGATTTTGTTTTGGGGTACATTGGGAGGTGGAAGGGAACCCAGCGAACGATCCGTGGTTTGGCATGCGATGATGTTGTTTTAAGGATTCGGTAGGATGTCGAAATCATGGCCCCTTTTGGGGTCCCTATTCTATTTGTATTGCGGCCCCGAATATTTCGGTGCACCGAAAGATCATAATGTTGACAACCTACCATCTAAGCGCTTGTTAGTTTAGGGTTTAGGGTTGAGGGTTTCTATAACCTAAAATCATCAACCCTAAGCCCTAAACCCTAAACGCTACAGCCTCAATCCTACACACTCAACTTAAAGCCTCAAATTCCTACCAAGCCATGCCCCGAAATCCGCAAACCCTAGATTTAAGGTTTAGGGTTTAGGGTTAGACCCTTAAACCTTTTACACTCCATCCCAAGACTTCAAGCCCCCAACCCTACAGTACGCCCACACCCTAAGACCCTACCTTAACTGGACCATAAATGCCTTACCTTTTCGGGGAGATACCTTGCAAACTTAACCCTAAACCCCTAAACC